TAAATAATTTTGAGTTATATGATGAATTGGAATTGGTCGGAGCCTTGCCGGGCTTCTGAAAGAATTGATTGAATGATATGAGAATATGGTTAGTTGTTATCTATGAATGTATTGTTGATCATGTTTATTATGTGATGAACGTGCCTAGAACCCATGCTTTAGGTTGCTTTCGAGATGATATGAAGTTCGGATAAAATTGGTATGATTTCATGTGTAGTTGCTGTTTTCGTGCTGTCTGTTCGGGAGCAGTTTAGGCCCCTAAGATTGTATTTTCGGTTTTCGAGTTCTTCATATGATATGTAGTTCGTTCAGTTGTGTTTACATGAGCTTTAGAATCGTGCAATTTCGACGTAAAACGAATAAGTTATGATTTTTACAAAATTGACTGCGCGAGCAGTTTTTCTTAAATCCGGCTGCAGTTAGGTTTGGATGTTTTGTGTGTTTATGATATGATAATGTGCTCAAATGAACCTGAGTCTTCATTGAAATTGTAGTTCTATGTGTTATCTTTCATGTGGTTCTGGAATCAAGCAAAAATATGGTCCGAGTAGTGAATGATACCTGTTTTCGTAAAACTGCGCATGAATTTATTTTAAATTTCTGGACAGCATTTTAGCTTTGAATGTTTGCTGGTTTTGGACCATGTATATAACCTTATTTGCTTTCGAGTGCTAAATGAAAGTTGTAGTACCATGTCTTAAGAACAATATGAGACGTGAATCATGTTAATGCGACTTGTATGTTGAAAAATATGTTCGTTTTAAAAATGCAGCACGTGTTAAGTTTTGTCAAAGGACTAAGTGTAATTGTTTAAGTGAGTCTTATGTTTATTAAGCATGCTTATGTGACATGTATGAGCTCTAAAGCATTGAGTGAGATCATGATGAACCTTAGATGATTAGAATAGTATCTGTAAGCAAGCAAGCTAAGAGTTCAATTGTCCAAATGTTTTAAAACAAGTATGTTTTCAAAAGAATGCAAGCAAGGCGAAGCCAAGCGAGCAAAGTTTTTTCTAAAGCATATGTAATGTTATAAGTATAAGTATAAGTATAAGTATAAGTATAAGAATAAGTTCCATGTTAAGACGCTAAGACATAACCCCAATGAATGTAGTTTTACGAGGAGTCGAGCCCTCGAGATTTCTTTCAAGTTCAAGTCTAAGCCGTGCATTCTACTGAAAAGGTGGGGGAAGTTCTACTTTATTAATCCTCTTTAATTATCTATGCATCGAATGAAGTTAAGTAGCTTGCATAGTACCCATGTTTATACAATGTTCCAACATTCGAGCAAGTCGATTGTTGCAGTACCAAGGTTCACGGACTATAACTCTAGAGGGTAGCTAAGTGCTAGGGTTAGAGGGTGTAAGTGATTATGTGTAACCTTCGTTGGTGCACTCATCGAACGGTTGTCCCCGTCGATAAGACTGTACGGAGCCTAGTGAAAGGCTATCTTCCTTCAACCTATTGAAAGGTACTCTCACCAAGCCTAATTGGCCGTGCCATCCGCGAGAGGCATTGTTCTTCC